CAATGGGCGAAAGAAGCTCAATTCATCAGAACATATTGAGGGTCCTGATATAGACATCATGTTACCAAGAATTATCTTCCCAAGGAACAAGAGGCCAGAGTTTCCATCTCCCACTGATATAAGGTTGTCCTAGAAGGTAAGACACCTGTATTTTCAGGTTCCCTGGTATCAGAGAAGGATTTGGGGCAGAAGCTGAAAAATCTGGCTCTCACTTGAAGTAGGAAGTGCAAAGTCAGTCTGAACTTGTACAGGAGTATACAGTTTGGCTTCAGCTGAAACCAGATGTAGGCTTAAGGAATGCATTTCAGTGTTCCGGAGGTGTCTAATAAATGTACCCAATGTGGCAGATAGTTAATGAACCACACTTCTTGTGCAATCCCCCTTCCACAGTCTCTGGGCTGGGCTTATGATGACTCTAATAGAATAAAACAGAACTGATACTGTGCCTGTTTTGGGTCTAACCCTTAAATGACCCAGCAGCTTCTGCTCCCTACTTAAAATGCTTGCTTTTGGAACCCAGTCACAGTAACTTCAAGCTCAGTGTAAGGACCATGTGGAAAGAACTGAAATCTGGCTGAAAAGTCTGGCTGAGCTCCTGGTCAAGACTTCAGATGACTAATGCTGTCCCAGTGACCCTGGACGATACCATGTTGGGAAGAATTACCCAGAGAAGCCATGGAATTATAAGCCATAAAACAAATTATTTTATTTCCTAACATTTTGGGTTACTTATTTTAGTCACAGCAATCAATTAAGATACCAGTCAAGAAACCTTAAAACAAATAGGGTTGTCAAAGTCGCTAAGAAGGGTAGCTTTCTTAAGCTACCTTAAGGGTAGCTCTTTCAAAATTCAGTTCTCCTATGAATATATCTGGAAAACATCCAGATATATTCATAGGAGAACTGAATTTTGCTAGTTTTGCCTATTCTTCACCAAGCCATTTGGCAACACTTATATCTCTGACCATTAGTTATGGCTCTGAAGGATTTCAAGTAATTTTAGTGATTCTGAGAGGAAATGTTTTTTGATATTTTTTGCCAAATTACATTGCTGAGTATTACTGTGTGACAAATTTTCATGTTTATTCTAACCTTTCTTCCCATTGTGATTGGTTACAGGGTTACCAGACTCATTTGATGTTCACTCAACAAAATAGTCATTTAAAATTCAATAAACATATCTGCTGTATGGCAAACCCTGTTCTAGGCACTGCTATTCTAATAATGGGCAAAATGGACAAAAATCCCTGTTCTCTTGGAGATGGAAGATTGACAAAGAGCAGAAGAAATCACAGAATAGAAATACATGGTATCTAGAGAGTGTTAAGGAGAAAAGCTAAATCAGGAAAGGAGTATAGAGAAAATGTTTAAAAATACGTGTTAAATTTTAGATTGAGTGATCAAACGGCAGCATCACTGAGAAGATGCCATTGGAGAAATGGATTGATAAGACAGATTTGGGATATAACTGAAAACAGAGCCCGACAATGGAATTTGCTGACACTTTAGATGTGAGATGTTTTTAATACAATAGAGGGGGTAGCAAGCATCACTCCAAAGTTTGGGGCTCAGCAAATGAAGAATTACACTTCCATTAACTGAAATGAAGAAGTTTGGGAGTTTATATATAGGGTTCAGTGTTAGACACATTAATTTGAGATAGAACTGAAGAGGTTTAGGAAGTTTAGGCAACAAGCCTGTAATTCAGGATAGAGGTTTAAGCCAGAGATCTAAATATGGGAATCATCAGCATATGGTATTTAAAGCCATGACAAAGGATAAAATTATGAAGAGACTGCATATAGATAGAAAAGGAAGAGTTCTCAGGACTAACTACAGGGCATTCCAAGATACAGAGGTTGGGAGAGGGAGCATGTAGAGGGAAAGCAAGAGATTGAGAAGGAACAAAGCAGAAAGCAAGCCAGCAAGGTGTGGTAGCTAGAAAACCAAGAAAATGCTTTAAGGAGGAAAACGTAACTGACCATATCAAATGCTGCTAATAGTTCAGGGAAGATGAGGCATGAGATCTGGTTATTGAATTTAACAATACAAATTGCCCTAGTGAAAAGCAGAGTTTTTGTGGAGCGGTGATGCTGAAAGCCTAATGGATTGAGTTCAAGAGTAAACGGAAGCAGAGAAAGTCAGCCGGTCAATACAGAGGATTCTAAAAAGTTTTGTTTTATACAAAAGAAGCAAAATGAAGCTGGCACAGCTAAAAAAAAATAATAATAATATTAATGGGAGAAATAACAGCAGTTGGTATGGTGATAGGAATGATCCAAAAGATCGGGGATAGTTATGATCCAAGAGAATGGGTGAGAATTACTGGAATCATGCCTTTAGTGGTGAAAAGGGATGGAGTGTAGTCTATCCGTGAGAGGCTGGCCTTAGCTAAGAGTACAGATGGTTCAAGTGCATGCTTAGTAATGGAGAAAGAAGGTAGACTGAAGGGAAACAGGAGCATGAGGTGAGTAGATGAAGTGTGAGAGTGCATGGAAGTTCTCCTGTGAAGGCTTCTATTCTGCCAGTGAAATAGGAACCAAGATCATTAGCCAAGAGTGATTATGGTAAGAAGGAGGTTTGAAGTTCAGAAAGCATGAAGTAATCAACAAGGAGAGTATGGACTGGAGATACACAGTATCACTGTAGGGCAATATCACCTACTTTGGAACTGTGGTAGTGACAGCAAGTGACAACAGTCAGCTTGGTTGTGAGCTTCATTCCCTTCAGCTGTGTCGGTGAAGGAACAGCGCAGTTGGATTTAGCCAGGCTGTGTTTGGCTAATCACAGCATCATCTTCCCCTACCCCCACCCCCAGACCCCCTCGCCTCCTCATGGAAATATTAGCTATTTTCTCCCTGACAGATAACAATACTGTTCAGAAAGCTTAGAGATTCTGACTCAGCTTTCGATACTTCTTCCAATGATGTCTTGCAAAAGTTCTGTGTTTTGTCATTTACTTTTCCTTTCCCCATCCCACAATTCATATGTTTTTCTATTTTCAATGTTATGACATACAGTTGTATTCTGACTAATTTTCCAAAAGGGGCAAAGACAACTGTGCAAGGGGAGATATAACTGGACTCTTAACAATACCTCAGTCATGTTAAATACCATTTACGTAGTACCTTTTATGTCCTAGGTATTTAATACACATTTCTAATCCTCTCAACAAGTTTCCCCATTTTAAAGGAATAGAAACTTGGGAAGTAAAATGAGTCATAACGCAGCTAATAAATGCCAAAGCTGAGACCCAAACCCTGATCTGCATGTTCCACGGTTCTGACTCTGGCCACTCCGCCCTCTAACCCTTATTAGCCAAGGCAAAACCAAGCTTGTGTTGTCCTAGCTCCAACTGTACATATTCGAATGCCATTGAGTTCACTTGCCCAGATATCTTTAATCCAAGGTGCTGTTTCCAGACTTTCTTTCTCCCAAACACCAGATGTCATCTGCTCCTGAACTTGAGACAAAAATTACAGTTTTCAAGTTCCAAAATGCTGAATTTTACCTGTGTTCTCTTGTCCAATTTTAAACGTCTAGATTCACTTACCTATTCTTACAATACCTCGGTGCTGTTGACATTTCGGGCCAGGTAATGTTTTCTTGTGGCGGCCTGTCCTGTTCATACTAGGCTGTTTAGCAGCATCCCTGACCTTTACATCCTTGATGCCAGCAGCACCCTCCCCCCAACTGTGACAACCAAAAATGTCTCCAGATGGGGCATCTAGCTGGCTCAGTTGGTAGAGGGTGTGATTCTTGACCTTGGGTTTGTGAGTTCAAGCTGCACACTGGGTATAGAGATTAAAAATAAAATGTTTGTTTGTTTTTTTAAATGTCTCCAGATGTTGCCAAATGTGCCGTGGGAGGCAAAATTGTCCTTGGTTGTGAACCACTGGAGTAGAAGTGAAGATTACATAGGAATTAGCCACTGCATGGTTTAGTGGGGTAAGTGTCTGCTTTTGGCGCAGGTCATGACCCCAGGGTCTTGGGATACAGTCCTACATGGGGCTCCTTGCTCAGCAGGGAGCTGCTTCTCACTCTGCCTGCTGCTCCCCCTGCTTGTGCCCTTTCTCTCTGACAAATAAATAAAATCTTAAAAAAAAAAAAAAAGAATTAGGTTCATTTTTTAATCTTATTTCAAATTTTACATTGTTACTTTATCCATAACAGTAAAAGATGTTATTTTTGTACTTTTTTTTTGGATTATGTTTTTTAGAAGACAAGCTCCTCCTCAGACTTTTACATTCTCTGTAACTTTCCAAGAACTTGCTTGTCTCAACATCATCACAGGCAGAATTAATTTTAATAGTCCCAAGTTCCCATTACACTTTGAAATAAAAAATCTGTAATGACAGTGTTTACCACACTAGTGCTTTAAAAAACAAGACCTCACACCTATCTCCAACTATCGTCTCTTTGGTGACATAGGTCATATAACATTAATTTTTGTGTCTCCAGCATTTACAAAAATCCCAACATGTAAGTATTTGCTTAACTTGTACATTTAAACTGTATTACAAGGAATTCCATGTGTTGACTTTTAAAATTATCTACACCTACAGAATGCCCCTTTATGGTGTCTTCTGACCCACATGCATATTACAGTCCTGCCATCTAGTGGCCAATTACCCAAATTGTAATTGCAATACCTAGTATGAAATAAAATATCTCGAATACGAACATTTAAATTCCATCCAATATCCTAAGATAAAGAAACCTCTACACCACTTTTACACATATACATTTTCCAACTAATGAAACGTTCCAATTTTTTTTAACATTTTGCCTATAAGTGAGTGAAATTAATTCACATGTAAAAGGTTTTAGCTCCAATATATAGCATTATTTGCAAATAAGGAATATATAATGTCCACATTACACCCCCCCCTTTGATTTTATCCAATGTCCTTTTCCAACAAAGCTCAAACTTTGCTGGTTTTTTCTCTTAGAGATCTATCTCTTTGAAGAGAGTCTTAGCCATTCAATAAAACACCTACCTGGACACCAAACTCAGCTAAAATCGAGACATCAGGACAAACTCCTCAGCTGATAAGATCCGTCATCTGACTGGACCCAAAGCTGATTCATAATCTGGAGTGAAATAAAGTTTTTAACAAGTAGGCTATTAGTGTGGTAACAGGGTTAACTGAACTAATCGATCAATTCAACTAAGTAGGTTAGTAGGAAATTAGTCGAAATATTAAACACTTGTGAAGCATTTTCATTCTTGATTGAATGAACCTCCTCACTAACTCATTCCCTTTACCAATTATGATTGTATACTTTCAAGTATCTCATTCATGCATTATTCTACTGTTATAATAATAGTATAGTTAACTAATGATATAAACTGAATGGGGAAGGGAATAAGGATATAGAGGATAAGGGTTGGGGTGCCTGAGTGGCTCAGTGGGTTAAAGCCTCTGCCTTTGGCTCAGGTCATGATCTCAGGGTCCCGGGATCGAGCCCCACATCGAGCCCCACATCAGGCTCTCTGCTCAGCAGGGAGCCTGCTTCCCCACCCCACCCCCCTCTCTGCCTGCCTCTCTGCCTACTTGTGTTCTCTCCCTGTCAAATAAATAAATAGACCCTTAAAAAAAAAAAGAAGAGGATAAGGTTGGCAAATCAGTTTCAACTTTACTACTTAGCATTCGAGATATCATAAATCTATTACTATTTCATATTTGTGAGCTAACAAAGCATATTTGCTTTAGCAGGAAGGCGTTACCAAATATCTCTAAAATATGCTGGATTGTTCTGTGACATATCTGTTTTGTAGAAATCATTAACATGCTCTGAAGCCAAATGAGGCATATGTATAAACTCTCAGATATCTTTCTTTCTAATATTAACTCTTGATACATCACTGATTTGCAAGATAGATATTTATTTTTAATACTGCAAACTCATGTGTGGCATGACCTTATTTCTTTACTCTCAGATATTTAAAATGTCTGAAGTTCAAGAGATTATTTAGACCAATTCCTCACAGCATAGATGGAAAAGCCAAGGTTTTTAGAGGTTTATTGCCTCACCCAAGTTGACTGAGCTCATTGTAGCAGATGAATCTAGAACTTTCAAAGTTACTGAAGGAATAGCCACTAGTCCCGAGGCCAACGCATCACCAAGAGGATTACAAGGTGAGTCTCTTGGAACTGATGCCATCATGCTTCAGTAATTTGCAGGAATCCCAGCCCAAGTCATTCTTTTTCTCACAGACTCTTAATTCATAAACTGTATATCCTCTCCACTTCCCTCTCTTCCCAAACAAACCCTGAGTGTCTCCCGTGACTCCAGTATGAATAAGCGATTTCTTATTCTTCAGATATTTATTCCCTTCACCTCCTAAACTTACTTGAAACCTGCCTGGGCCCTGAACAAACATTAGGGCCAGGAGTTGATCATATTGAGTTCACTGAGATAGGTGAATTCCTTGCTCCCCTTTTCTGCTTCCAAATTATCTCACCCCACCCTTCTACAAAAATCACTGTTCTTTCAATGCTAATGTCATTTGGATAGATCACTGTTTCCCACACCTTCTTACATGCTCTTCCCAACCTCCTCATCCTACCTCTGCTTTCACTAGCCTTCTGTTCCTGGCACTATTCCGTTTGGGTTTCCTTTCTTTATCCTGGGTGACTTCAATAACTAAGTGGACAACCCATCAAAAAGCCCCAGTTTCTCAGTTTCTTGATTTCTATATTCCATCGACACTTTTTCTTTTCCACTTCAGTCATTTATCTTATGGTCACACCCCTGACCTTTACACCTCTTAAAAAATGCAAACCTTTTAAAAAACATCCTATTGAAACATTTAACTATGGCAGCTTCCCATATATTCCGTGGGCACAAGTACTTCCATACAACCACACAGTTCTTCAATGTTGTAGGGACATCTGATCCTCTCATCCTCCCACTTTCTCATTATCCATCAGTCAGTCCCCTCCTGTCATGATTTCTCATCCTGTTTGGCACAGATTCCGTTATCATCAACAGGCTGCCCCTTTGCAATTACTTTCAACTCTCAGTTCCTTCCTCCCTCAACTGAGCTCACCCTACAAAAACCCCAATCCATGTATGAACTCCTCTGACTTCAGACTTTCTCCTTGTTCATGCAGTAGTGTTACCGATCACAGATTAGGTGATCTCCTAACTAGTTTCACTTTAAAGTCATAATCTCAGGCCACAGTTTGAATCTTGGTATGACCCAGAAATCTTGCTACAGTTCTCTAATAATTTTACGTTTCTGCTCCCCAGAATGCTATTGATCAGGATCCTCTTTCTTTGATCTTCTACTCCCCCTCTTCCACCTTTGACTCTCAGCAGGTATCCTTGCCCATCATTTACTGAGACTATGGAACTATCAGATGGAAGCATTTTCATCCTCTCATAACTAAATCCCCAAGCCCACCTACCACCAAACCATCTTTTCCATCGCCATCAAATCAGGAGATATCAAGGAACGTATGAGACTACAGATGGAAATTTCAGAGCTTGAGGCAATTGACCCTAAGTGGTAAGTTAGTAACGTCAGATTTAGAAGGATGGTGAACATCATGTTCTGTAGAAAATGGAAAGGCATTTTCTGTAGAAAATCGGAAGATACATGATCCAAGTTATGTTGTAGGACAGGGGTCAGCAAACTATAGCCCTGGGCCAAATCTAGCTTACTATTTTTATAAGCAAAGTGTTACTGGAACACAGCCATACCTAGTCATTTATGTATTCTTGTCTAATGACTAGCATATTATAACAGCAGGGTTGAATAGTTGCCACAGAGACCACATAATCCACAAAGCCTAAAATATTTACTATCCCTTTCTAGACAATTTATCTGCTCTTTTTTAGAAAGATAACTATGGCAGCATGATGAAGGATAAACAGTAATGGGGGGAAACTAGGTGCATGGCAAATATTTAGGAAGGAAATTGTGTTAGTTCAGTAAGAATAATAAAGGCTTGGTCTAACCCAATGGAAGTGGACATAGAAAAAAAAACCCAGACATTGTGTATATAGAATCAGGATTAGATAAACAATTAGGAGAAAAAAAAGAAGACAGAAATAGGTTATAAAAAGTGATCCCAAGTTTTCTACTTTCGTGACTGGGACATTAGTAGTGTTTGCAACGGTAGTAATAAGGGGTGAGAAGAAATGAAAGTTTCCACGAGTAATAACAATGGGCAATTTAAACAAGCTCAATACCTACAAAAAATACATACATGGAGATTGCTGAAATTATCCCCAACTTGATCTCTAAGGCAAATGGAGTTGTGGAGGTCACTGGTCTATAACTGGTAGCTGGTGGGATGGGAATAGATGAAATCACTTTAAAAAAATATAAAATAATAACAACAAAGTCTCTTAAAAGTTTGTATTCAGGAGTTGAAAACAGACCCACACAAAAATTTGCACACAGATGTTTATAGAAGCTTTATTCATAACTGCCAAAACCTGGAAGCAATATGCTCTTCAGTAGGTGAATGGATAAACAAAGTGTGGTACACCCAGAAAATGGAATACTATTCAGCACTAAATCAGAATGAGCTATTAAACCAACAAAGACATGGAGGAAACTTAAACGCATATTACTGAGTGAAAGAAGCCAGTCTAAAAAAGATACATACTATATGATTCCAACTGTAACTTTTTGGCAAAGACAAAACTATGGAGGCAATAAAAAAGTCAGTGGTTGTCAGGGGTTTGTGGGAAGGAAGGAATGAATAGGCAGAACACAGAGGATTTTTAGGGCAGGGAATCTATTCTACAGGATATTGTATGGTAGATACATGTCAGCATACATCTGCCCAAATTCATGGTACTTACAACACCAAAAGTGAACTGTAGTGTAAACTATGGAGTTTGGGTGGTTGTGATGTGTCAATATAGGTTCATCAATTGTAACAAATGCCAACTCTGGTGGGGATATTGATAATGAGGGAGGTTATGCAAGTGTGAGGGTAGGCAGTATAGAGATGAGAAATCTCTGTACATTCCCCTCAATTTTGCTGTGAACCTAAAATGGCTCTAAACAATCAATCTTAATTTAAAAGGTCTGTATTTATTTTTTTTTAAATTCTATATTTAAAGGGTAGTTAAAACTGTCATTTATAAACAAATGATTACAGAGCAATTAAAATCAATTAACTCAATCTAGATATATCAAAATAGGTAATTCTCAAATAATGTTCAGTAAAAGCAAGCTACAAAGGATGCCATGATTCTGTATATGTGAAATTTTACAACCTAAAATAACATACACTGTATGTGCATACACAAATACAGAAGAGCATATCAATGATAACGCAATTTCAGAATAGGATAATAGACTGGACTGGAGGGAGAGAATAGAAGATGAGACTCATCTGCCACACTATATTTATTTTTCAAAAAAGCTTGCAGTAAAATACACCAGAGAGAAAGGGGTATGCACTGTCAGGAGAAAAAGTAAGAGGAGACAGTAGGTCTTGGGCATCAGAAAAGGAAGGAGGTATGCTTTCAAAAGAATGGCATAAAACAGGCCATTCAACTCTGCAGATTAGTCAAGTGAAATGAGGATTAAGAAGCTCTATTATCAGTAACCTAACAGAGTTTCAGCAGAATAATGGAAGTGGGAGCCAGATGGTAGGGGGTGGAGGGGAGACTTGGCACCAAAGAAGTGGAGGCAGTGAGAGCAAATGGCTCATTCAAAAAAGCTGGCAATGAAGAAAAGAGAAAGATACACAACAGTTCGAATGAGAAATATTTAATGTGTCCAATGCTTCAATTCAGGCAGGTGGAAACTCAAATAACTCAACATTTCTTGCAAAACATCGAGTCCTTCTATTTTCAAAAATAAAAGACAGAAATTAATAACTTTTTTCCTTAAGAGGATATCTGCAAACTATCTCCCATGTTAATATGACATAAAATAACATTAAGAACTTGGTTCAAATCACAATAACATGAATAGTATAGATGAAAAAGTTAAGAGGGGCGCCTGGGTGGCTCAGTGGGTTAAGCCTCTGACTTTGGCTCAGGTCATGATCTCAGGGTCCTGGGATAGAGCCCCGCATCGGGCTCTCTGCTCAGCAGGGAGCCTGCTTCCCCTTCTC